GATAAATGTTCAATTTTGTGATGATTGAAATCTTCTTGCATTGATTATTGATGTCGAGGGACTTTATTAGATAAAAGGCCGTGCGTGAATTTTGATGTGATGTTTATTTAAATGGAAGGAATTTCAGGTGAAGAATAAACAGTCGGATTAATGTCGGAAATTTAATCTGTTTGCCGCAATAACGAATTTTGATATTTTTCTACATTAAAAAAATACGAAATTTTATATCATAATTCTATTAGCAATTCTGCGACATAATATTGGAAGTAATATCGTGTTTACATCGTGTCTAATATATTTTACACCCGGCTAATGTACTGGAATTACATCTTTATGCTTTAACAAGTTCTTTATTTTTGGAATTTCTAATATTCTAGCATAAATTTCAATTACTTTTATAATTTTTGCATTTTTACCTTTTTTTAACGGTACGCATTAACATTCAACATTATGTTTTCATGAAAATTCTTCTTTTTTATCTTTATATCCTTTTAATGAAGAAGAGTTTAGCAACTTGTTAGGATACACAAGAAAAAGTTCCATAATGTAAAACATGATTTATGACATTTTTTTTATGGCATAGGAACTTGTAATGTATGCCGATATGTGAAATCTACCTTGTCGACTGTTGATAACATTGATAAAATGTGAATTTATTTTTGGCTGAACTCAATTGCTTATCAGGAACTTTAGCTTTAAGTCCAAAACCGAAAGAATTCTGGTTTTTCACCTTAATAAATTTCCTTTTCAATTTCATGAACAAATACACGAGAAGAAAATCTCAATTCACTATTCAATAAATTACAATCATTATATTTTATTCGGAACCCCCTTGATGATCAGAATCTGAATGAATTGAGAAGAATGAAAGCATGGAAAAATGAAGGGAATGAAAAATACTTTTTTGAGGGTAAAAATCTCATTTTTTTTTTGTTGAAAGAATAATTTTTTTCCTTCCTTACGACTTATGTCTCATCAGCTTGGAATGAAATAGATCCCATCGACATAAAAGGTCAAAGCTTACCCAGTTACTGTTGTCAAGGGTAGTCAGTTGGAAAGTCTTCGATTAGAGCGCATTTTTAATTTATTGAATGACAGAGGCTCCTAATTTGCGAACAATATTACGGTTTGGTACGATAAAATCTACTTTGTGGATGCTAGGTGCTAAACTTTATTATCTCCCAAAAGATGTAGCTTTATGAAGCTTGAAAGTGATTTCTTAATGCTCAATTTTATGAGAGACGAAGCTTATTGTTGTTTAATAGCACGGTAAGAGCCACAATGGAAAATTATTGTTTATTTAATGTGATTTATATGTTTTTTTATGTAAAATCACAAACAAAAACATGACCTTTCGTTTGCATTTCTATAAATAAAGGCACAATCTCTCTTGAGATATGAAAAAATATTTGAGGATCCAAAATCAAAAAACAATAAATTTTCATCAACTCATGAAAAATTGGGTCAAAAAGCTGAAAATAGCTAAGCATCTCATTTTGAGGAAAATGTTATCAACAGAAGATTTTCTTGTCATTGTGTTTGCTCAAAACAAATCGGCTTTTGTTTCTTTTCGAGTGTGTTCCTTAGCAGCATTATTTATAATTTTTCTATGAAACATTTTTACCACTTTTATCCTTTTCTACGTCCATAGATACACATTTTATATAATATTTCCCATTCAAACACGATTGAATCTCAATTCTTTATCGACATTGTAATAATGTTTGAAGAGGTTAGGAGATGAACGCATCGCATTTTACATTATTGTTGTCAAAGATTTAATGTAATTGGAAATCATTCAGATATGGCTGTTAATATGATTAGTATTATTGCATTCTCTTCTTTTATATTACGTTTTTCGGCAATGAAAAGCATACACACATACTTTCTTATTAATTTCTTTTCTTTTCTTCCCTTTTCTTAATAGTTGATTGATTGATACAGTGAAATTGATACTTACTGAAACGTCGCATGAAATTTCCTTTATTTTTCGTCGATGTCGTCGTCATTGCTGTCGATGCTGATGCCGACTTTTGTTCAAGCACGTTTGATGATTTTCTCAAACTGATTAATCGATATTGATCTTGCTTATTAAGTTTTATATTCGGGACAGAAAGCAGACGTTCGAGTCTTTTCTCTTTCTTTACGCGTGGCGGTGCTATGGGAGAATTTGGATCTTTACTGAACGTTAAATCAGTCGGGCGTGAAATTCCAGCACCTTCAACAACCGGAAAACTTATCTTACGACATGGTTCTTCCACAAAATCTACACGTTTATCCTTTTTATCACCATTATTCGACATTTTCATACTTGTTGTTGGTGTTGTCACATTGCTAACAACAGCCATCTCTTTATCACATTCCGCTCCCAATTCCTCTATATTCTTTATTAAGTCTGCAATTTTTTCACTTTTATCATCCTCAGGTGATGACGGTCCAGATTCAACCGAGTCAGGAGATATTTCTGTCGGTGAAATTATTGTCCCGTCAACGGCTTTTCGATCTCTCGAAAATGAATCACCAAATGTACTCTTTAACTTCGTTTCTGCTTTTGTTGTGAGAACTTTAAAGCCTTTCCATGACGATGTTTTGCGTGCAAGATTAGATTTCATTCGTTGAGCCTCTTCCGAAGGCGATAATGCCTCATCGTCGAGAGATATAACTTCAAGAGCGTCTGTTGCAGGAGACGCTGGTCTCGATGGCTCATTAGATTTCGCTTGTGGACTGATTGACATGTCGTTTAACTAAAGCATACATTTGTTTTGTTTTTTTGATTACCACATATATGCATGAATTTTCATTTTATATAAATTATATTTTTATATATGAAATGAAATTAAAAGAAAAAAAAAATCAAAATGATAAATATGAAAATAAAATTTATGTGTAAAAAAAGAAAAGAAGGAGATAATTTATAGCAAAAGAAAAGAAGAACGAAACATAAAGAACAGCGAAGATAATATTGCGATGAGAGAGAAAAAGAGAAAATATTTCAATAGACAGAAGAGATCTAAAGCAAGTTCTCTATAAAAACTAAGTTATGAAAACTATCAAATTTATTGGCATAAACATATGTATCGATAATGAAGTTTTCGATGTTTAGAGGTTCCAAAGATATCACAATTTCATAAGAATCTCAGAATGTCTTGAAAGCTTTAACGTTATTAAAATCGATTCGACACTTAAAATCATCTGATATTCATATAAACGTTCGCCTAATAACAATTTATTAGAAAAGTTGTGTACTTCCGTAACTTTTATTACAATAATCATAAAAATATATTTTTTTGGGTTTTTTTGCCGCAGCTTTTCATAGCCGTTATAAAAGTAAGGTATCTAAAACAATCATCTGAAGCACACACACTCACGCATTGATTTTTTTTTTCAGCAATCGTGAGTGCTGCGTTATTGTTACATTGAAGCTATTCATGATTTTTGATGTAGTGCGAAGTATACATCCTGCATTTTATGATTCGATGTATATCACGATTTTCAAACAAATGAAAGGAATCAATCATTCTATGATTTGTTACACCTGAGAATAATGAAAGCATCAGAAGGAAAAAAAAAAATTATCTGATTTGTTCCTTAAAATGTCAGGAAGCAATTTATCGTAGCATTGTGTAGCATCGAATTCGCCTGAGATCATTGAGTATTTTCACAGCAATCACAGAGTCTTCATCAATTTGTAGTAAAATCATTAATTGTGCTAGACAGCTTGTGATATTGACTATAGAAGTAATAAATTAAGATGTCTTAGAAATTGTTATCAATTTGGTTTTTTATGAACCCAGTGGAAGTATGAGTTTTGGGGCTTGGAACTTGAAGAAATCTTGTAGCATTAATCATAGACATCAACAGATCTTCTGAGTTCTTATGAATTGATATACTCGTTTGGAATCTCCAACATCAGATTCTAATCGATAAAAAAATAGCTAAATCTCTATGAAATTAAGCAAATTGCGCATTAATAATAAATAAAAGAGACTTGAAAAAAAATAATCAAAATATGAATATTCGTCTTGCAGAGCTATTGAATGAATTTAAAATAAAAATTGGAATGAAAATTATAAGAAAAATAGCCTGCATTTGAAATAATGAAATGATTTAAGCTGAAACGATTGTTATTTTTTGATGATAAAAATTTTGAATTACAATTTTATTTTTTCCATCGATATTATTTTTACGCTCTTCTGGTTTAATTCTATGACTTGACATTTGATGAAAAAAAAAGAAAATAAATTCTTCATTTTCATTTTCATTATTTTCTTTTTATAAGCACAAATCGATATTTAAAGATGAATTCAATTTTTATTGGCAGTATATCGCAATAAGAAAGAATAATTGTCAAATTAAAATAAAATTTAAACAAGATTGAAAGGAAAATGATTGAAAAAGTTTAAGGAAAATTGACGAAAAAAAAATGGCAGAAGTACTTAATATTCTTTTCAGTAAATATATACAAGTTGAGGATTATAAAAAGAATAAAAATAAAAAGTTAAAGAGTAAAAATAAATAAATCCGAAAAAAGGAGCTCCATTTTAAGTAACAAGAAGGGGATATTGAATAATATTTATTTCGGAAAGTATAAAAAAGTTAAGAATGAAAGCAAACAAATCGCATAAAATGATAAGATATCCCCACACTTTCTCCGAAAAGAAAGATAGAAAGCGGGGGGTCATAATCGGGAACATTAGATAAGGAATGGGGGGGAGCAAATAGAAAAATATTAGAGAAGCAATTATTTGAAGAGGGAAAAAAGGATTCTAGCATGTAATTTTATTTGGAAATGGCACCCGAATACGATCAAAAAATTTACATAATACTCGCAATCTTCGCAAAACCTTTTTTCTTTTCTTTCGATCTATTGTTATCATAAATGGAATATTGGAAAATTTATGTCAAAAAAAAATTCTTCTTTTTTTTGGTCATAATTCAATTAATATAAAAATTATTAGACATTAAGCTAACAGTGAACATTGAAACATTGGCGAACTTACCTGATCGATACTTGGTGAACGCTGTTCGTCACGTGAATAAGGCGGTTCCGAGCGCTTTGGACTTCTTGGAGTACGTGAATATGGATCTTGTGCGCCATATAAATCCGGACTAGCGACATTAATGAGATAAACTTTTTGTACAATATCAACTATCACCAAACCTGACTCATTTCCATAAGCCATTCTTTAAAAAAAAGAAAAGAAGAGACAACATTAATGATAAGAAAAATGTTAGTCACGTAAAAATGCTTTGCGCTTGAACCATGCTTCAGATAGACAATAGAAAATCACTTACAATCCATAACTAGAATTTATACATAATGAAGTAATTTGACCAGGATGTGTATTGTTCGTCCATGGCGTGAGGCAAACCAGTTGAGCCTGAAATCCTGGCGGTTTTCTCTGTTGTCCTGGACGTACCCTTAACATTCCATCACACTGCGTTCGTCATGCCAATGAATAAGATATGAAGGAATGGAGGGAAGAAAAAAGGAAAATTTATGTTATAAAATCAGGGATGAAAATGGATGTTATAAATTTTTTATGATTGTAATAACGCTCATTTCTCACCACGAGTGAGAACATTTGAGATTTATTCATTCTTAATCGAGATTATATTTTCATTATGTGAAGTTATCAATTTGAGAAAGTTTGATGTAAACGTGACAGAAATAGGCAACAACTTTATTACAATGGCAAGTGTTGATTGAAAGACTTTTTTTTTCTTAAGAATTAAAAACTTTCTCTAAAGATTTTTTGACGTAGGTACGATTGAAATAAAATTTATGAGGCTGTCACATAAATGGATATTGTAACATGCTGTACGTTTTATAATTTTCACCTACTTCAAAAACAATAATGCTTATTTTTTACTGATTGAATATAACACGACTTTTGATGATTTGCTTAACGAAATAAAGTTCACCTGCTTCGTTTTATGATTTTTGTGGTTTTATGTCAATGAGAATATAACCATAGCGTAAATTGTTATCAAGCAGTGTGCTGAACAAATATCTTAAATTTATTGCGAGTGCTTAAAACCACAATAAGTTGTGTAGCTTTATGAGGTGAATAACTTTCGGAAAAATCCACCAATCTACACTTTGTATTATTCGCTAAGGATTTATCCCTAGTATAAATCCACATGGCTAATAAAAAATTCATTAGACGTACACACCTTTTTCTCGTTTTCCATTGAGTCTGCTTGCTTCGGTAATGATCGTGGAATGAATTCACATTCGGGGCTGACATCAGTTTCATCTGTATTTTCATAAGTTATAGGAATTTCTAAAACTAGGATATCTGATAAACATTCTTGTTTCTTAAATTTAAACAATATCACATGACCGCTGTAACCAGCCACACACAACCTTCTGCATGATTTTAAAATTCATATCACATATGATTAAGGCGATGATGATGATAATGTATGTGGAAGAAATTAAATAAAGTATTATCAATCAATTAGGAAATAGCACGGATATAATAATATGTTCATATCAATCATTTGAGCAAATGTGCATTGAATATACTTGCCTTGATTCAGGACATAATGAAATAACTTGTATAGCTAATGGATCTTCGTCTGCTGAGCCATCAAGTGAACGTGTCTTGGGCTTATCGAAAATTTTCGCAGTTTTGAGCTTATATAATATTAATAACGATCCGGATCCGGCATCCCAAAATTTGACGGAACCATCTTGATGTCCGGTGATAATAATTTCAGAATAACTACGTGATGCTGGGGCCCAAGAGCCACCGCTCACTGGCCAATGTTTCTCCGATGTGCCAGGTTTTCGATTTTGTGCATGTCGACCAACAGAATAAAACGCAGGAACTAAATCAGATGGACAATCAGCAAGATACGTGCAACAAGTAACAGGAGAATCATGAAGGTCCATCGAATATGGTGAATCGAAGCATGGAAAGCCATTTGATGTTAAGTCTATTATTACCAAATCATTTTGCAAAAGCACAGCAATGGCATATGGCTCTTGCATATCACTCATCCATGGGCTCTCACACATTGCAACAAAGCCAACAACCGGATGCTCCATATGAAGTACTGCTGTTCCTTTTCCTTGTAATACCGTAATACATGGTGATTTTCCACCTTTCTCCATTGACAATCCACCCGAGAAAATGGTAAAAGTTTCACTGGAGGGAATACACAAAAAAATTATATTCGAGAGATATATCCATAGAAATGAAATGGAGATGAAACGACGAAAACATGTGTGTGTCTGCTGTCTCAACTACATGAGAATTAATCAAAATGAAATTTTCATGCATTAACAAGATCTAGACCTTAAAATGTCTGCTAAAAAGTAAAGCCAATGTCTGTCTCTTCCCCAAAAAATAAAATATGCTCAATAGACTAAAATTAATGATAATTTGCAAAGCATGTTGATGTATAAAATGTACATTAAGTATGGAATCAAAATAAAAAAAGCTGAGAATCACCTAATGTAATGTGCATAAAGAATGGATATGGATGTGTAAGAAGAAGGCAACAACAACAATAACAAAAAAAAAGAGATGAATAACAAAGCTTATATTTACCCATTACGTGTCGTTTTAAGTTCAACTTTATGTATTGGCTTGCATGTCTCCAGTTTTCCCTCTTTCGTCGGCTTTGCATGTGGATAAATGTGTATGTGAGGTTTAGCTGTTGCTCGTAAAGGCCACGTACATAATGAACCATCAATGTGTGATGACACAAAACTCTTGCCTTCATAATGCCATGATATTGAGCGAAGTGGTTCATGTGATTGCCATCGAAATTCAGCATATTTTCCTTTCATATCCCAAAGGGTTATAAGACCTAATTCGAATCCTATCAACACCTTTATATTTGTTGATATTGGGGATTAGACAAAGGAAGAGAAAAGTGAATGGAAAGAAATCATAAATATTTATCTAGGCTGTTGAAAATTGAGAACGTCCCAATATATGCGATACTTACTTTATTTGAATCTAGTGGATTATCTGATAAATGAACCACCGAACCGGGATGTGTTTTCATTGTGCTATAAAAAAAAGAATAGAAGAAGGAAGTAATGTAAGTTTCTTTCTTGCTTTTTTTTTTTGTTCAATGTGTGTATAATAAAATGATAAAGGAAATGTATTTAGATAGTCGTAGACATACAGGTCGTCTTTTATCTTTTCTTCATCCATTTCCACTTTCTCTTTATCTTCACTCCATTTATTACTTTATGTTGTAATATAAATTGTGAAAAAGAATAAGATTTATGTACATGACATTTGGTGCCCATTTCTCATTCACATCAACAACAACAGCTAAAAAAATAAGAAGAGAATTTTGATTTGCAGATAATAGAATATTAAAGCGCATCTTGATTGCGTTCTTGAGAATTATGAATATTTTTGGGGTTGGTCACGTCTTTCGAGGAATGGAATCTTCTCCTCTCTATCACTGAATGTTTCCTATTTTAGGTTATGTCACAACTCGACAAATCTCCCAAAAATTTACACATTCCTTATGAACGACCCTTTGAGTTCCACAACAACCATCTCAAATTTCGTGTTTCTGACTTTATCAAACAAAACAAATAGACATTTTAAATAATATCGATCGCCTCAAGAAGCTTGTGTAGAAGACATTGTTATTTCGTAAATATTGGGACAACAAAAAGGAATTCAACTCCATATTTTACAGAAAAGAGAAATAGACATCAAACAAAAAAAAATTGTAAAGGAAATTGCCATTGGGAGGATGATTAAGAAGTATTTTGATTTATGAAGCTTAAAGCTTTCGTCAGTAAAAAATTGTCACAATAGTCCGATGAAGATCATTGCCTTCAAAAAATTCTAAGGCAAATGTTTGTTCAACCCAGTAAAAAGTGATAGATTGACTCCAGCTCCCACACAAAAAAAGTATGTGCTCGTAAACAAGACAAAGTGAAATAGACTGAAGCTTTGTGATTCTTATATTAAATTCAATTTTTCATCTTTACATTTTACCCCTTTTTTTTATTTCACTTACCGATGGTGCCGATATAAAACAAGTGAAAAATGTAAAAATATAAAAAATGTATGTACATTAGAGGTACGCCAAAAAGATTTTATCTCAAATATGCCAACATTCACTTCATAATAATATTTTCCTTTCTTTCTTTTTTTATTCATACAAGAACTAAGTGAACGCCTGAAAGTGATATTTGGTGAACTTCCACATAAAATAAAGTGAAAGAAGAAGAATGGAAAATGTCAAAAAATAAAATTTGTCAGGTTCGCTAACCGCTTAGTACTTTATCTGTATTGTTTAATATTCTTATCATTTTTATACGAAACAGAAAAAAAGCCATTTTATTTGATAACGTTTCAAGTTTTCCAGGCAAAAAAACCCTCTTCTTACTGCTAAGGATGGAAATGAGATAAAAATCTTAAAAAACCTGTCATTTACATTCGTTCCTTCAATCATACGCACACCTTTATGTGCATTTTTATGGAGTTTACAACGAGTGAGATTAATTTTAATATTCAAGCTTAAAGCAGTAACATGAGTTAGCATAATTAGCATCCAGCAGATAGAAAATTAATTTCCCATGTTCACAGCTAATAGAGTTTTCATGTTAAAGTCAGTGATTTAAATAAGTTATTACCTGACTAATGTAACGGAACGTCATAATGTGCAGAAATTTTTATTTTTTATATAAATCAGTTCATTGTGAACATTCAACAAGAGTGAATCGGAATGCGACGAAGAAATAATCAAGATGATCTTAACCGCATCATTAAAACAAATTTAAAGTATCAAACGAAGGAGTTTTTCAACAATTCGACACTCCATGGTGTTCGGTATATAGCTGAAGAAGGTCGATCCTTCAGTGAAAAGTTTATGTGGTTTTGTTTCGTTGCGATTGGTGCCGTTTCTGCCTTTGTTATTATCGCAAGCTTGTGGGAGAAATTTCAAACAAATCCGACCATAACAGGTACCAAATTTTCTTCATATTCCATCCACCTGTTTGGTATTGTTAACAATTTTTGATAGGTTTAGACACAGACTTTCATCTGCATACGCTCGAATTTCCCAGTGTAATTTTGTGCCTCGAAACTCCATTTAATTCAACAATTGTGAATGACACCGCAAAGGGAGCACTTGGTGGGTATTCAGACGATTATGAGAGTAATATTTCAATGCTGGAAATACTGTCAAGATTGTCATATGACAATATCAAGAAGGCTGCTGAATATGCATCAAAAATCCCTAGTCAAATGGTGAGTTCTGATTTATCAAATTCATCATGAATATAAATTAACTTTGTGGTTTACTAGACTGTGTTGTGTAATTTTATATGGGAAGCTTTGTTTATAATTGGACCAAATATTTGTGTTTCATTGCGGTGTAGCTTGTAATTCAATGATTAAGGGAGAGGGGAATTTTTTTCTATCCAAAAAATTTATCGAAAAGGGATACGAGGTCCATCAAAACACCCTACAGGCTACGCCTCTACAAAATCAACATTTGTGTAAATTTACAAAATTATTTATTAACTGTTATTTGCTTTAAAAATATCAATATTATTTTCCCATCAATATTAAAGCAACAAAACTGGGAAAAGTATCAGTTGAGGAGCTTAGCATTCGAAATATCCAAAAAATGCGAGGATATATTTAACACCTGCAAATTTCGTGCTGAGGAAAAGGATTGCTGTGAAATATTCCAGCCAATTTATTCAGAAAGAGGATATTGCTATAGCTTTAATCAGCGATTTTCTAGCACTGAAACTACTGAGTAAGTGACATGCTTGTTAAGCTTTTTATCATTAATTCAACACTCATTTCCATTAAACTAATTAGAGAGCGACTTCGAAACTTTAGTGTAATACACGAAACAGACAAATCATGGTCATTGGAACTGAATCTTAAAGAGACATCAAAGTTCTACATGCATTCAGTTTGGGAAGTATTTGGTTATGATAATCGCGTACAATTTGTATGGGAACCGGAGACATCAATCGATATTTTAATATCAATGAAGCAAACTTATACGACAGACGATGCAGCACAACTCACAATCACACAGAGGAAGTGCATTTTTCCAGAAGCGTCAGAAGTTGATATTTATTATTATAAAGATGAAGAATATTCACTATCGTCATGTATGAAGGAATGCAGAATGGAAAATGCCATCAAATTGTGTGACTGCATACCACCGTTCTATGCACCTGTCAACCCAAAGAGTGGTAAAAGTCAATGCAAGATAAAGGATTTTGCATGCTTATCAAAACATGCATCAAATATTACCAACATCAGACGATGCCTTAAATGTGAATTAAGTTGCCTCAACACCGTATACGATATTGAGAAAACGTAAGTTGGAAAATTTATTATTTTCTTGTCGTTATTATTATTATTTTTATTGAGATGTCAACCTTTATCTGACAACTGTCGGTATTTTAAGATTGAACAAATAAGAAAAGAAAAAATAAATTAAGGAATGAAGACGGAAACTCATGTGAATTCTCAGCAAACAAGTGAACAATACTTATGAAAAAAATTGAATGATTTTTCAGCACAGCTTTTTATTGAAATATGAGACTTCATGTTCACTTTGCCATGCCATACGTGTTCAATAGTTGAAATGAAAATAATGTTTGAAGTTCAAATGCGTGACTTTATTTTGATGCTAATCATTTCTGATTTTTTTAAAGCTCACAGACGCAAGGATCTGAAGCAGAAAGCACTCGATCAGTAAATATTGAATTTTTGACATGGCCCATTATTCGATACAAGCGTGAAGTTCTATTCGGATGGGTTGATCTACTCGTATCTTTTGGCGGTGAGGAAATTGGAAAAAATCAATGTAAAAATTGGCAATTTAAAAAATCATTTTCAATTTATTTTTAAGGTATTGCCGGTCTCTTCCTTGGCTTTTCACTGCTTTCGGGTGTAGAAATCATTTACTATTTTACGGTTCGTGCGACATGTATGATGTTCAAAAATCGGGTGAGTGAATAAATTACGTGACTCAATAAATTTTTACCCATAAAGCATTGTTTTGGTAGGAACAACTTTATGAGGTTCAAGAAGAAGAAGATCGTAAGCCACCAGAAAAATATGACCTTAGTATGGATTTAGCAAAGATCCATGGGATAGAAAGAACTTCTAATATTCGAACTGTTAAGCCTGTTGATCCAAATAATACTCTTGATTCTAGTGCTGATAGAATTATGAGTAATATACCCAAAGGTGGTGTTAGATTTCGATCTGATGAAGAAGAGCAGGAAAGAAAAATCAATAGAAATCCATTTAGTGATAGAAATATGGAAGACATGGATACACAGGTAAGAATAAGTGATTGAGATTAGTAACGAAAAATAATATGGAAGGGGATTTGAGTTGTTGTCATTTTTATTTCCTATACATGTTATATATTGTAGATTCCCACGCAACGACAACCCATTCAGCCTATTGGAATTTTTCGTCCCATTCCAATTGCTCCATATTCCGAAAACATTAAGCCATTGGATCGAAATTATCGACGCCCAAAACCTAATCAAGAAGAATCTGGTTTAGTTTATTATGGCTATTTACCATGAGATGTTTATACCGACTTAATGAAATTTACATTAATTTAGCGTTCGTCTAAAATAAAAGCGTATATACCAAGATCAAAAAGAAACAGCACACGATGAGAAGTTTTAAGAAGAAGTGAAATATTTACACAACATTTGGCTGTTATTGATTTCAAAGCTTTATTTTTTCTCCCTTTTTTCCTGCTCTCTGAGTGTGAATTTGCCGTGCTCATTTTAAATCAATATAACAATTTCCTTCTTTGTGTATATTTTATCCGCTTCTTCCTTAAATATTGATCAATAAATTATCCGGGTTCATGAAAATAAATCGCATTTATTTCAATTTAATGAGGTTGAAATTATTTTTTTTATTTCGTATGTAGGTTGATTCTCTTCTTGTTGTGTTGTGAAAAATAGCATACACGAACATAAATCCAATTCATTTGAATTAAGACTTAAAAAACACAAGTCGTAAGAAAGACAGATGTACATGCTGTAGAAATCATTTAAAGTTAAAAACAACCTTTTTTTTTGGAGCACGGCTTTTCTTTTTTTTTACGATGTCATTAAAGTTGAAAATGGCTATTTGGCAATTAAGGACGGTAATAAAGGACATTTTTTTCGGAAATTTTCAATATAAGGTTTTAGTAACCAAAGTACTTTCCTCGCATAATTAAGTTTATTTTAAAATTAGTAGCAAGATGACCAACGAGTTAAATAGCAACAGCAACTGACTGCTTTACAAAAATCAAAGCTTTCTTTTAGTTTGAAGCGTAGCTAGAAATCAGCTTCAGGTAACATGTAAGGAAGGAAATGGATCTGTAAGGTCAGCAAAATGAGCAAGGCGTGGAAACTATCCTAAATATCTTATTTATCCCAAAAATATCCAAGATAATCCCTGAGCCTGCATGCATTAAAATTGAGATATTTCATCGAATCCAAAAATTAAATGTCCAATACACTAAGGATTCGTTAGGATATCTTTATTATCGTGCATACAGGCTCAGGAATTATTTTGGATATTTTTGGGATATTTGGGATAAATGGAATATTTGAGATAGTTTCCACGCCTTGAAAATAAGTTAATAATTTCTTATTAATGCTGACTGTAACAAGCTAGTAAAGCTGACTATATGCTTGGATTTTCAAAGAAGAAAATATCAGGTAAATTTAACACAGAAGTCTCAAGTCCCGTTTCAAGCATTTCATCAATATCCAATCATCACAATGCTTCAACCTTATTGTTATTTAATCCAAAGCATCTAACAATGCTTATAGCATTCAAAAGTTATCGAAAATTGAGTTTAACAAATTGAATTGAGATTATAGAAGAAGCCAACAAATACATAATCGAACAAAGTCAAATAAAAGCCATCGAGGAAAACAAAACAAAATAAATCAGAAAGCCATATCGATGGAATGGAAGGAAAGAAAAGGTGAAAACAGCAATAATGGAATGGGAGAACAAAACTATTTTATTGTGGCTGTATGTTTACACGCAGAATAACGAGAATAATTCCCATCATTAGTAGTTTTAGTGATTACCGCAATTACTTTTATTTTTGTACGAATGTCCTTTTGGTAAATAACAAAAAAATAATGTAATTTTCATTTGAATGAAAATCGGATAAACGTAAAAAAGAATGCGCATGATGTGACTTTGTATATCTGGTGATTTAACAAAAGCATTGCTGTATATGATATTTCTTGTGAGTTAAGCTTTTTTTTATTATTTTCAGTTAAACGTGAGCATTTGACAGTTACAGTCCTTATATCCCTTTTTAATTATTCAGTCTAATGAATGAGTGAGGCAATTGCGTTTAACATACATACAAATTAATTATTCTGAATCAGATTATGCTTTATTTTTTCCTACTCTCTCTTTTTTTGAATAATTAATTTAAATTACTTCAGACTCGATGCACAATAAATTGTACGGTTTGTATTCGTTAAATTGCTGTCGAAAAAATTAGACTGGAAATAAAAAAAAATCCTTTTTTTTCTGCCTTTTTGTCAGGACGAGAGATCTTTTATGTTTGCAAAAGTATTCGGATTGTTGAGCAAAAATGAAGAAAAATGGAAGTAATCGTGTTAAAAAAGTTTCAAGTGAAGCATATGGATTATTGAAAACAAGTTTAAAGTATCAAGTTAAAGAATTTTTCGACAACTCTACACTTCATGGAATCCGTTACGTAGCTGAAAAGGATCGTCCATTTTTCGAAAAGTTTATGTGGTTTTGTCTTGTTTCTGTCGGTGGTGTTGCAGCCTTTGTAATTATCGGAAGTTTATGGGAGAAATTTCAAACAAATCCAACTCTTACAGGTATGTGTGTGGGATAGAATATGCTTGAATTATTTAGATAACTCTCTGTTTGCAAATGAGGAAGGCAAACGAGACCCAAAAATAAACTTTTTCATTCTTCTTTATTCAAAATGAAAATTGTCAGGATCTTTTTCTAATATCTACAGGTCTTGATACAGATTTTCATAATCAACAAGTCTTCTTTCCAACTGTTACAGTCTGTCCTGAATCTTCATTCAGTACAAGTTTGGCTAACGAGACAATGTTTGAGGAATTTGCAAAAAGTGACAATGAAATTCTTGAAGAATATTTACCCGTTCTAAAAGCATTACCATCATTATCATATGAAACATTTGGAGCCATGTACGAGGCAATTTTGAATGTTTCGAAAATTCAGGATATAAAAAACAAAAATTTACGTCAATTAGCATTCAAAGTTGGTATCAAGTGCGATGAACTGCTCGAGATTTGTAAATACAAGGACGACGAAATTACATGTTGCGATTATTTTTTGCCATTGTATTCTGAGCATGGATTATGCTATTCATTCAACACTCGTTATTTTTCAACATCCAGCAATGAGTAATAACAGCTTAAAATGGCAATTTTAATTCTGTATTTGTTTTAAAATTAGGGTGATTCCATGTGTTGAAAATTTATGACAAAGTTTAATTGTTGTTAAGCTATTACTGTACCAGCTATTAATTATGTCTCTCAAGGAATCATCCTGATATGGCAATATCAAACATACTAACATGCACTGTACATTCCACAATATTTTTCTTATATTTTATTGTAGAACAAGAAACGAGCGAATTAATGATCTTTTTGAAACAGACAAGAAATGGGCACTGCAGTTCGTTCCGTCTGTGTCTTCAAGAATCTTTGTACATTCAATCGATGAAGTTTCCGGTTATGATTTCCGGCCAACCCTCGAACATACAGTGGGTTTCTCGATGAACTTGTTAATTTCGATGAAACAAACTTACACAACCGACGATGCACGTCAGCTTACTGTCGCACAAAGGAAATGCATTTTTCCGGATGAGAGGAGATTAAAATATTATAAAGATGATGCTTATTCATTTTCTCAATGTATGAAGCAATGTCGTTTGGAACGTTCACACTCATTCTGTCAGTGTATCCCGCCCTTTTACGTTCCAGCAGCTGCAACAAACAATTATAGACATTGTGGAATTGAGGACTTTAGCTGCTTGGTGAAATACGTCAACAATATAACCGACATCAAAGCATGCAAACATTGTGAACTAAGCTGCCTTAATACCGTTTATGACATTGAAAAGTTTTCAAAAGTGTAGGCATAACAGAGAGAAAAAAAATTTCATTACTTCCTTGCCTTTACCATTTCACATATTTGTTTATTGCAATTCATTTTTCCAAATCCTTTGACAATCCATTGATGCCTTAATACCCTCGACTAGCGTGTCGAAATGCTCAGAATAATTTATTTTAATTCTATTTTTTGAACATTTACTTGTAATACTTTGACATTTTAATGCCAGTGCCAATTTTTGAGCGCTTTCCGTAACTAGCATTCATCACCCACCATGAAGATTCTATAAAGTGAATATTAAAAGCAATTCCCTTTACTCATTTTGGCAGCAACATTCCGGAATCAAAAAAACGTGAGGATTTTAACATCAAAATTGAATTTTTAACATGGCCCATCATCCGATATAAGCGTGAAGTTTTGTTCGGTTGGACGGATCTATTAGTATCCTTTGGAGGTATATTAAAATAAATTTGAAACTTTTTCAACAAGAAATTAAGTAAATTACTTTTCTTAAAATTTGAAAATACTTTAGGTATAGCGGGTCTATTTCTTGGATTCTCATTGCTCTCTGGAGTCGAAATAATATATTACTTTACAATGAGAGCTAGCTGTATGATATACAAAAACAGAGTAATTTAAAATTCATGTTGAACATGTTTTAAAGAAAATTAATACATATTCAATTCGCAGGAGGAACTTTACATTATACAGAAAGAAAAAGAAGCACGTCCTAAATCACAATATGATCTCAGTTTGAGACTAAAACTTAAGGAATCTGATAGATTGAAAAGTCTATCAATGCCCAATATTCAAACTGTGAGACCTGTTGAATCAGCAGGGAGTAGTGGAGCAAGCATACAAGTAAAAGCATTCGATAGTCCCAAAGTGCCTATAAAGCACTATTATATTGATGGTCAAATTAACGCCATCAATAAGAAAATAGAAGAGAACACCATTCTTAATGGATTAAGCAGATTAAATGTGAAAAATATTGGTAAACGAAAGGTAATGGTTGTAGCTTTATTTTTATGATTGTGTCTCTCGCACAATTAATTAGTAATTCTCTGCCTCCTCTTTATTTTATAGTCCTTTGTTACGCAACCTCCTCGTCAAGTTACATTTCGACCCATACAGTTCGCTCCATATGCTCATAAAATTAAGCCATTGGACAAAAAATTCCGTATTCGTTCACAATCTGAGGGACCAGATATTATTTTCGAAGGATATTTAGCGTAATTTTGTTATTATCCAATTTATTCTGTTTAAAAAATTGTTAAATTAACGGTCGAAATTAAAATTATTTTAAAAATGGCATAAGAAAAGATGCGAACGACCCTGCCCCATTAATTAGGGTGAAATCAATTATTATGAGATCGCTAATGTCTTTTATTAATAAATTAATGAATATTACCACTGTGAGCACAAAGATTATTATATTATTTATGGAATAAATAAACTTTGATAACAATCTATATTAATTGATGGTGTGTTTAATGTTTAAATAAGACTTTTTATGAATATTGTCCAATAACATGATGAATCACCCTAAATTTTGGGTTTGTGTATGTTTGGGGCCGTTCACTTATTACGTTACGCAAAAAAAACGACTTTTTTCACCCCCCTTATTACAACATGTTACAACTCACAACCCCCCCCCCCCCCCCCCCCAATCTGAACGTTCATAATTCAAATTTTTTTTGCGAACTTTTTTTAAAAGACAGACGACAGTTAGAACATTCTTCTTGGCCCCCCCCTATGTTACATTTTGTTACAATTTTTCAAACCCCCCTCCCCCCTAAAATCCGAACGTAATAAATGAACGGCCCCTTTTAAAAATAAACAAAAATTCTAGCTTGGAATTTTCATTCGTATAAAATTAAATTAAATACTGCAGTTTTTGCATAAGCATCAATCAGAATGTACTTGTATCGTGCAAAACAAGGCTTTTGTGCAATTTTTGGATTATTGTCATTGGTCGTAACGCTTTATTCCATTGGTAAATTCGTCATATTTATTTCGAGTGTAGCTGCTATTAGCGATGGCGTCATTGCGAATGAATCACATGAATTAAAGTTTGTCGTTCGTGCCGTGCTTAACAATTCAATATGGCTCTCATTGTTCATCTTATATCACAGTTTCGGCAAACATGAAAATGTCAAAAAGTTTTGGGAGAAGATTGGTTTTAAGACGCTCGAGCGATCCGCTTATAATGTTATATCTTCTTACATCTTACTGCAGATGGTGGAACGTTGGGTTGTGGTTAATAAATGGACATTATGGAGTTTTGAGATAAAAGAATATTCGCCCGTTTGGTACATGTATATTTTATCACATTCTGCCTTTTGGCTAATTATATTTTGCGGATCATTACTCATGGATGTACCAGAAATACTCGGAATTAAGCAAATTTACTACGACATTAAAGGCTTAAATAGACCATCGCTCTACAAAGCAATACAGCATAATCATCTTCTGACTAATGTACGTCATCCATCTTATATTGGATTCTCTTTATTATTTTGGATAACGAACTTGATGAGGTAATCATGCATATGCCTTTCCTTACCCATTAATATTTTATTCAGAACATAACTAATTGCAAATATGTGTATGTATTATTAATGTGCTCTCTCTCTTCTTCACTTAAGCTTGGACCGTCTTATCATGGCAGTATTACTAACAATTTATATGTTTGTTGCATGGAGTCCAGATCGTAAGGATTATCAGTATCAACAACAACAGTTGGAACTTAAGAAATTAGAGTTGAGATATGATTTCAAGCAAAAGTAAAGCAAAATTGCTGCCATATCCGAAACATAATAAAAGTGCTAAGATCTTTTATAATTAACGCGATTCTTCTTCATATAATTGATTTATAATGACTTTCATTTCTTTTTATCATTTATTACATTGACTCTTATAAAACTATGTAGTGCATCGAATCAGTGGTTCTCAAACTTTATGCAACCTCTTTAGTACAAATTTGGTGTGTCACCAAACAATTCGCGTCACATTTGAATGTTTTATAGACACAGCAATACAGCAGTGTATCGTGAATCATAGTTTGAGAACTCCTGCCATCGATTGTAGAGAACAGAAAAGGAAATAACAAATATAGCATTTAATTAATCTTTTGCAATAAATCAAATGAATTGTGTACTTAAATAGATGCTTTTATTTTTCTATATTTCATGCCTTTTTCATTTCATCTTTCCCATACAGGCTATACAAGCTATTATGAAGGAGAATTTATTTAATGAATCACTTTAGCTGAGTGGATGAAAATGCACAATTTCGCTTATATAATGAGTACCAGGTTTGTAGTCTCTCGTCTCAAGTTTTTCTTTGATTTTCGATCCTAATGTAGTGTCTTGAATAGCCCTTGAAAACTTAAGCCCTAGTTACTCCACTGATGAGTATATAAAAAAATGAATAATGCTTATTTCATTGATGCTAATTCAAGAACTTGTCTTTCTATTCAGATTTCAATTCGCAGAATAATTATTATTTAGAAATTCTCGTTAAGTTAGAATTGAGACAATCCAGAAGATTCGCTTTAAGCAAATATCCTTAAAAGTCTTTCTCCACTTTTATAACGTAATAATGATCATTTCTCTATCTTACACTATAATGCACATGGAGTATGTACAATACATAAAAGAATGTGAGAATAGAAAAAAGGAATAAAATTTATTATTGTCACAATTTTTATATTTCATATTTTTCTTCATAATATTTTACAACATTTTTCCGGTACGGAAAACATTATTTTTCATATCACTGATACGGTGAGCATCAATAAAACGAGAATGAATGAGACTTGTGAGGAAAGGGTAGATATGAAGAGTAGAGGTGCTTATAGAAAGTCCTCGAAAATATTAAGGCAATATTGAAGGATGAATTGTAAGAATGAACGTCAATATACACAAACGAGTGATAATTCCCACATCTCATAGCTTTTTTCAAGCACACACTTTTGTATATTATAAAATTCAATAGGCACTTTTTTCCATGTCGTCATCAACAAGGATGGAGCATGTATAGGAGCGATGATATAAGGGTTGATAATGTGATTTGATGAGCAAATATTGAATCACTTATCAATTGTCAATTATAATCAAAAAGGAATTTACGATCGTAGATAAATCTATATTCAATATTCACAATACATCTCGTAAATTATGGAGTGGATATACTATTATTTGGAGAATTTCTGATAATAACATGTACTTACAGTTCAACAGCTTTATTCCAGTGTATGATGTATCCACTCAATGTAAATGATTCCGTGTGAACAATATGGATATTGCCTTTTTCGGTGCCAACATATAGCCATTTACTGCCTACCGGAAGATGTATGAATGTAATGCTAAATCGTGTACAAAAGAAAAACATTTACATTAATTTTCATTTTCGATTTTAAGGCATAAAGGATCATTGTTGTTGTTGTTGTTGCTATCCCACACATATAAAATTATAATTAGTTCGCATTACCTTTCTCGTTGAAATTTCAGGCAGTGCACAACAGTTGGTATTTTCTTTTGAAAGTTCCAATAATGTAGCGTATCGTCAGCTGTAACCGCCACAAGAGCTCCTTCGTTCACTAAAAATTCAATCTGTATTACCGCACATGCTGACTCGCCCTCGTGACGAACGTGAGCATCAACACCTGGCTGACCGAGACTAACAATGTATCAAGTTTTTGTTGTCATACGGATGTAAGGAACGAGGAAGTAAAAGCAAAATGAAAAGAAAAGAAAATTCAATAATGATTATTAGTAAGCATCAAGACGACACGAACGGAGGCAATCTAGTTTTAATATATTGAATAATGTCATATACTGACTGCACGTGTCAGGTGAAATCATTATCTTGATTTTTTGGGCGAGCAAAATGCAATTTATTCGTTCACTTTGACTGACTGAATATTTTATCGACTTATGACGCTTGGATGGCGCAAATTGGAATTTTTCTTCTTATTTTGAGAAAGCATACATAAGAAATTTCGAGTGCTGCTAAGAAAACGTGAAGAATATGTTCTCAAAATTCTTAATGCGCTTTATTGGATTGAACACATCACCTTTAACTTCCTCCCTATTTTATTTATAGAAATTGGAAATATATGAATAATAGAAGTCATTTGAAATATCAATAATTTATTACTGCACAGCATAGATTGGGCACGAATTTATGTATAAACAATATGGATATGATGATTATTTTTCCAAGCTCAAAAAGACAGAACAATATTTTTCATGTTAAAATTGACGGAAATGTGTCGACAAAAAAAAGGCAGCAATAGTAAAAAATGGACTGTTTGAAAATCATTTTTCATTTGACGCTATAATGTTGAGTATGGCAGCAACCAGAAATTAATGATAGCGAAAATTATATGAACAAGAAATAGATGCTGATAACCACAGCTAGCGCCTCATTATACATTATGAATAATTTTTTTTGTATCTCTCATCCACCATTGTGCTTCCTTTTCTCGTTTCCTTATTCAAATATGAAAAAATTTGTCGACATGCTGTCATGGTCCACAATACGCAATAATCTTTTCACGTAAAATTTTTCTTTTTATACGGAAGCAAGAATTTAAAACAATAAAAATTGTACTAATGATTTGACATCGCTTACATGAGCTGTGCGAATAAAAGAACATGAAATGTAAATACTTTTGTGATTTAGAACAGAGGCGTAGCTTAGAGGCCCCCTTCCAAGTCCCTGTTTGAATTTTTTTTTCTTCTTTAAACTCATCTCAAAGTTTTTCTGAAGATCTATTTGAAGTTTTGGACTCCCTGTAATTTTTTTCTGTCAACGCCTCTGTTATAGAACATCTGATTACAATTCACGAATTTATTTCATTTTATAATTTACAGGAGATGGCGTAAAAAAGTGGATGAAAACAGGCACAAAAAATGTATATTCTAGGGGGATAACAGCATGATGGGAAATATTTTTCATCGAAACCTCAGCTCCCGCGCCTAAATGTTGATATAAAATGGATTTATAACCAGTAAGAATTATCCATTCATTGTGGGAACTTGATAGAAAATTTCTCATCAAGTTGTTCTCCTCCCAGGCATATTCATACTCATTGGATGTTGTAAAAGGATTTTTTTTTCGAAAAGTACTAAAATGCTCATTTTATGTTAAGGACGTGTCTTGAAATATAAATCTAATGCCATATAACCCAATATATATACAAAGAGTGAGAAGAAGTTTTGTGGCATATACACTTATGTATGCTAGCTGTCTGTGTATATAGATTTGTATTTGATACACAGCATCTTATTTAGCGCACTTTTGTCAAATGCAAATTTGGTTTTGGAATCATTTTGGTTGATTTACAAGGCTTTATATTGCTTACGAATGATGATGTTAAAGAACTTCGTGATTTTCATTCCCAATCCATGTCATTTTGTACAAAAGCATTCTGAATTCTTTCAGTTTGAATAACATACTCATGATTTGTAATTAAATTCATCAGAAAACCTCATAGAACCATAGCAAACAGAATATAGACATAACCTTAGCATGTGGCATATGGGTTTCCTTAAAAATCATGGCTGTTGACATGAAAATATAATTTACGCAAGGATGCATCAATTTCATACAGTTCACAGAATTCGCCTTAGTCATCCACATCCGTCGACAAATATTTACTTCCTCATCTCCTAAAAATAAAGCCGATGGAAAATAATTTCATTTACACAGATCACTCGCGGGATTCATACATGAAAGATTCTCTTATACCTCATATATGCTTATACATAGACATCGTGCTTAGTAAGTGAAAAGAAATGAAATTCACTTTTCTTCGAATATATATTTGGTAGAAATTCCATCATACAAAGAATGAGAGAAAATAACGAAAGATTAGAATGTGCTTCTATTATGTTAACTGCCGCGTACCTGTGTAATATGGGAATATATTTATTTTTTACAACATTTTCTCCTTCTGCTTCATGATATCAATCATGATGTTGAGGAAAAAATGAATGAAATAAAATATTTGTAGGGAAAAAAGTGTGAACAAAATGATTTTGGGCGCATTTCCTCGAAGTTGGATTTGTATGTTCACGCGTGAGGCAACTGATGTCAATAATTCTGCTTTATTTGCAATTTTTAATGTTAAAAGGATGAGGAGTCGTTCGTAAATGATGTCCAATATTTATAGGGTGGGGAGATCTTTTCAAAACTAGAGATTTTTAAGAACCTTACTAAGTTTGTGAAAAATGGTAGGAAGGGGTCTACAAATTTAAAAAAAATAAGATTGACATCATTGCGAAACAACTCCCAATAGAATAATGTAATCCATTCACGCACACATAATATAAGGATGAATAGTAGCTCGAAGGCTGTTGCATGCTAGACAAATAGACAGAATAACTACAACAACCCATATCAATTACAGGACATTGCCGTAAGGAGAATAAAGCAGTGTGTAGAAGAAGAAGAAAGAGAAATAAAAATCAAGATATGAGCAGATTGTGTATTGTAGTACAAAATATCATAGACGCGGGAGTAATAGCATTTTAATTCGCCTTCACAATTTAAAATCGATAATTTAACATTTTTCAAACAATTACGTATTTAATGTAGCAATGATTGCCAACTATTTCATGTTTCATGCAGTCAGTTTAGTTTCACTACATCAATGATAAGTGATTTTACTATGCCGAGTCACGTAATTTATTTCCATCATTATCTGAGATGAATTGAGGAACGAGGAAGGAAACAAACAGCAAAAAAAAAAAATCTTTTGTGAAAGATTACTTACATTCGAAGAGACCCATATTTATCTCCTATCGCGAGCAACTTTTGGACAGGATCAAATGCGATCGCTGTTGGATTGTGTGGAAAACCGTGACGGAATGTCTGCAAAATAAACAGAATAAGAGTAAAGATAACAAAAATTTAATTTATGGAATAAGAGTTATTATTAAGGCACAAATTTTTCCTTTTCCTCCTTTCTGCTCTCCGCTTAATATTCAATTTATTCTTGCTGTGGGACACAAGAACAAGAATTACCATCAATCAAGTCAGAATAATAATAATGAAAATAATGAAGAAAAAATTTAATAAGGATATAAAAACAAATGCAAAGCTTTTCTTTCCCTTTCTTTGCTGCTTTTATTTGAAGCGAAATAATCCTCTAATGGCAAATTATCCATTTTTTAGTATCGATTTCCTTTCTTCAAATTGCTTAAAAGTTCAGTGAGAAGAGAAGCGGAAGAGTATACAAAGTCATGGCTGTTGTGTGGAAGCAATATCGTAGTAGGTTTAATTTCAAGTAGCAACGCGAGCTTAAAACAAAAAGTTCCTCCTTTAAACGCTAAAATGAGCTCATTGTGCTTGATGTTTGGTTTTTTTTCGTGCACTTTTAAGTATGAAAATTGCAGCATCAGTTACATTTAGTCCTGAACATTTATATGGCAGATTCTACTCTGATCAGTCACCACAAACATTGATACACTATCTGACTTAAAATAAACAATCGAGCAATGAAGAATATTAAGCTTTGGGCTGTGTCAGATACAACAGAAATTATCCTTGTATGAAAATTTATCTAGAAAATGCACCGTAGCCACTAACAAACAAAGCAACGTTTACTGCTACAATTTTATGTATTTTATTCACCCATCCTCAACTCCGTGGCTTTTAATATAAAACTTTTATACTGTTAATTACGTGAATGTGCATACACAACTATATACCAATGTATGATGATATAAAAGCAGGAATATTTTCAGTAAACCACTGAAACCCTTTTGCTTTAACCCTTCGTATCGGAGCTCCTGATGTGAACGAGAGTGTGAGAGCAAAATCAAATATTTAACTATTTCACAAGTTGTTACATTTTTATAGCAATTTAACGCTGATGCGAAATTATTTTTTTGAACTGATTACAATCTCTGTTAATTAGAATAAAAGTGATGTGCAAACAGAAAGGGCTGAAAAAACTTTTTCATTACATTTTAAATTCATCTTTCGTCTCACTCCTTGTCATTATTGTGTATGGAGAAATGAATTATGGCTTTTAATACATGACTTTGTGACACTCTACGTTCTCCGTTTATTTTTAATTTCTTTTTTTTTGGCTTTCTTTCGGGGATGTAGTCTATTGAGGGGCGGGCAACTATAATCGAGTGATCCTTACAAGATCTTAACCGAGTCAACTATAGTCGAGTGATCCTTACAAGATCGTAACTGAGTCCACCATAGTCGACTAATCTGAACAAGATCAAAACTTATTCTGCCTCCCTCGCTACATCCCTGCTCCCTTGTCATTTGTACTAAAATTATCTTTTTTTAATTCCATTTTTCCATCCTGACAAGAAGACAAGAAAAAGAAAAAGTTCCTTAATGTAATTTCTCCTTTTTTCTAAATTGTGCGTAATATTTGCAATCTACAACATTAATTGTCACAAAAAAAATTTAACAGCAGCAAAAAAAAAGTCTCATTATCAAATTATGGTAATGATAATGACTCCACTTCTGTTTAATGAATAACAATTATGAGCGGAGATTTGTGTATATTGAAAGGAAATCCTTGCGTCGTTAATCATAACAATTTGATAGCAGGTGGTTTATTTAGGGTGATTTAGATTGATTTCTGTTGCTGAAGTACATCAATATTGTAAGTTTATGAAAAACTCATTAAAATCTTTTAGATATCCAAATCACACTTTCAGTTTCTGCTTACTTTATTGAATTGATGAATATTTAACAGTCAACGATAGCCGCGTGTGTCTTATGATAGAATTTGTATATATTCAACACTACCAAATAAGCCACACGCTAGGCTACCCTTAACGTTACATGCTGTCGAGTAAGAAGATGAGAAAGAAGTGTGTGGGAGAGACAAAAGAGAACTAAACTGACTGAACGAGCTTAATTGTCATGTCTCGTTGAACACTTTTACATCACTGAAGTTTTTCTTTCAGTTTTTCATTCTGTAATTCTTCCGAAAAATAGATGACAGGTGCAAATTTAATATTTCCTTCACACAGATTCTGTTTGTATGGCTGACTGTACACACCGGTTTTTCTTTTGGTTCCATATATTAAAATATGTGTACGTATATATGTAATATTTATATGGTAAGATCAACATTTGTACAAAATGTCTACTGATAAATCTTTTATGGAATAAATTAAGCGTAAGCACTTTTTTCCAGTCATGTTATGTTTTATAAAAGGTTCGAGAAAAAAACAGAAAAAATGCGAGTGATGAAGTGATGGAATTATAGGGAATGGGGAAACAATAATGGAGGGAGAGTTAAATGAATGGTACGATTTTTGAGACATATAAAAATATTCATATATGTTGAAAATCAATTTTTATAAAAATATAAAGCACGTTTCATATATTTTTTTGGCGTTATGCGATATTCAAAAAATACTGAAAAGAACCGCACACACACAAAAAAAAATGATGTTTAAAATAAAAGATTGGTGTCATTACATTTTATAGACATTCTCATTTTTACCTTAATTTTATGGTCATCATAAAAAACCACAAGTAAGTATTATGACCAGATGCTCTTCAGTATATTCAAATATTAATTAAAAAAAAAACTTTTTTCCAACTTCAAACAATAGGCGACAAAATTTTTTTTTACACCCACTAGCAAATTTTTTCAATTTATTTTCCTGCATGAACGAAAAAAAAGGAGAGCAGAACGTGCAACATTTGAGAACATTTATCGTTTGTCGTATTCCTATGTCTGTGCAGAACAGAAAAGTTTCGCAAGCACGCAATGTTTTTAAATTTTTTTTAGTTGTGTCACTTCAAACTTTTTTTTTTATGGTGCTATTGAATATTTGCCATCATCGATTTCCATTCCAGAAACACTCATAAATGGCGTAGGCGGTTTTTTAAATTGTGGAATCTTCACGAGTACAAATGAATATCATTAATGGTGTTTTGTCTCATAATATTTGTATTGTCTTTGAGGGGGAGTCGACGTGAATTATTGTGTAAATTTACTTATGTAAAAATTAATAAATCGTTTTATGTTCGAGAGGATTCTGTTCCTTATCAATATTTTAATAGGTGGTGTAGTTCACAACATTACTTTTTTGGTATCAGAGGTGTAGGCTGGAAAGGGGCTTTTTAGTGTGACAAAATACAAAGCTTTTAAAACAAAATTTGGGGTCGCTAAATTATCAACGCTCATATTTTTCATTTTGACCTCTTACTGTATAGCTGCTGGTAAGTGTTATCAACTCTACAATTTAAGGCTGAAGCCTCTCCAAAGCACACTCACACATTCTCTTTGAGATTAGTAAATAAATGCTTCTGTTTGAGAGTAAAAGCATCCTTTGAGATTCACATGAGTGATTCTCTTACATAAAATTATTGCACGTTTATTCTTATAATAATTACTAAAAAGAGAAAAGCGCTAGTTTTTCTCATAATTAACACAAGTTTATATTTAATGCCAACTTTTATTTAGTTCCTCAAATAAACCACAGAATTTCTATTATTTCCCCTTTGATGCTAAAGCATGCAAAGCAATGCTGAATAAAAATCATAAAAATGCTGCCTTTTTCAACATCAAACTATTCATTACAGGATATATGTGGGTATAAATTATTATATATAAAATGTAAACTCAAGGCAGCAAGGAAGGGCAGTAAGCAAACAAAATGTATGAATGAAAAGGAGCTTTTTCACTTAATCTTTATATGCGGCGCAAGAGGTTAAAAATAAATATTTCGAGTCCCTAGATGTGGGAGAATGTTTTTTATGGATCCATGTTGAACGTTTTTATGCAAAAGACAGCACTTTGTAGTGCACTTTGAATCTTTTATGAGATTAAAGATTTCATTCTGTAAATACGCTTCAATAATTTTCCATGATCTTGAATTATTTCTATTTATTCAACTTAAAATGTGCACAAATGCAGGAAATTTCCTGGTATGAACATGAACTTGAAAAGAATAACATTTCCATGGCTTCGTATGAACTTCAAATCATTAAAGTTGTTGCCATATGAATGCGTTTTAGTCATCAACATAATAGCATGTCTAGTTTATCTATGTTGTTGATGATGAGAGGAAAAAAATTAAGGATGAAAAATAAAGTTTCTGTATCCATCCATCCATTCATTCACATGGTTTGTATGCTGGATATACGAGAAAATTGATACACATAGAAGCATGGTTGTAGTTAGAAACTTTTTAAAATAGAACGTGGGAGGACAAGTTTTGATTTTGATTGATTTTTGTAGTGATAAAAGAATTTAGCCCATTTCTCTTCTTTCCTGGCTACATCCCTGCATGACACTAATATGAAATTATCGAGGAATATTATTAAAAAAACGTCACGAGATTATGACAGAGGCTATGCTACCTTTTTCTGTTATATATGAAGGCTCACTCTAGCTTTACAGAAGCGAAGCCTTTTAATTTAATGGGAATTTGTTGTATCGTGGATATAGATATCTCTTGTTAAATTTCTCACTTACATAGATTGACTAGATATATATTTACAGCATAGAATATCAGAAAATGAAAAACTTCATCTATTCACAAAAACCCATGTGCCTCGTTCTTTATGGCGATATTTTTTTTCTACTCCATATTTTAGTGAACAAAAATTTTCTACAAAATGAAAAATATTTCCCCCAACTGACTTTATACTTTATATTTCACCTACCGCCGTCTGTTTTCTTCTCACCAGGTTGATTTATAAATTTAATATTCATCATTTTTCAAATCATTCGCTTTTAAAAGAAAGAAAAAGAGAGAGAGAATGAGAGCAGTTACAACATCAGCATTCTAACAAGTGAATGAGAAATGCGAGTGAAAGAAAAAGTTTATCTTTTCTTACAGACTCAATGATGATGATGGCAGTGGTTATGGTTGAAA